AGCATGAAGATAAAAGCATGAAATGTACAAAAGTTTCTGAAATGTAAGGTATTCGAAATAGGAAGAAAACGTTTAAATGCAAGAAATCAGTAAATGACTTTGAATGAAAATACTTTAATATAAAGGCTTTTGAATGATATTGACATGAAGATAGAAGATAAACTGGAAATGATAAAGAGTTTTGCTGAATCATAAATATTTGGTGTTATCATACGTACATTGTTCGAGCATTCGTTTCCCTAGCCATGTGGTATTTTGAATGTTTACTGAATTTTGTACAATAGATATGACACACGAAATCCTAACGCTAAGACTTCTATTTATACTACTTCGACCATAACGGTCTTGCCTATAAGATTCTGCCACGTTCAGCACATGCAGAGCACTGCCCCTTTCTAGCTTCCACGTGTCTTCGAATGCTCCAGCGCATATATTTCAAATTTCGAACATCCCGCTTGCGTTTGAATTTTAAATGTTTTGGCACTCTTCGCTTCGAACTCATTTCTTGGACACACTCTCGTTACCACTTCGAGACTTCTTTTGAATATATCTCTACAACTGTCACTCGAAGCTCCGAGTTTTGACATGTTCATTCGAAGAACTGCTTCTACCATTCCGAACCATGACATCTTGCTTTATTCCAACGAAACATCCAACTTGCTTTGTTTCGAACTGTATCATCAAAATCTTCAGCCAACACACACTTAATCATTATCCTTTCCCAACTTTTACCTAAGACACACTTAGGTATGAGGCCCTCCTAAAATCTCTCTTAAATCACACTCAGTAATCGGAGCAACTCTAACACAATAGAGAACAAAACAGGAAGTCACTCTTCTAAGACACACAAAACTTAATTCTTAAAAGATTATGAGAATTGACACACAAATACTCAACGCTTCATAACTTGTAAGTATTTTATACATAAATGTTCTATGCTTAAAAGCTTAAGAACATCCGACACAAAACTTACAACCCAACAATAAAGATTCTAAAAACCATAACACAAATACATCCGTAAGTTCCACCTAAAACTAGGTATACACCAGTCTATTTATAACATTATTCTAGACTGGGTTGGGCTTCAGAACCGCAACAATGAGGCTGCACAAAGTCTGCACATTCTTCTCCAAGATAATAGGTCTTCAACCATTAGTTTCCTAAAATGTCTCCATATTTAGAAACCATGAAAATCTTCAAAAACCAACATAAAATATTTTGTTTTTTCAATCTTGGATGTCACATGAGCTAACCAAATATTCAATCAACTAATAACTCAGCTGAACCGTTACTAACAACTGTTGCAGACGTGGTGTCATGCAGACGTGATGTCATATCCACCTGGTTGGGACATCTTCTTCGACATGTTGAAAACTGCAAGTTGGGACTTCTTTGTTCAATATGTTGTTGCCAAGTTGATTTTACCAAAATGTATGTCAATCATAATTTCAGAGAAATAACACATATGACTCATGATATGGGCGAATCATGTTTGCATTTGATTTATGCTCCCTTTAGGGTTCATTTGAAGAGTTCATACTAATTGGTTAATATGCTCAGGTTTGCACTATTTACCTCAATATCTCCTTCATGGGTAATTTGGAGGATGTCCCACATTTCTTTAGCAGTTTCCTAGTGAGAAACTCGCGAAAACTCATAAAGACCGAGAGTGGTAGTGATGACAACTTTTGCCTTCAAATTGTGCTTCACATTTTCTTTATCATCTTTGGTCCAATCCTTTTCAGATTTATTTTCTACAACACCATTAACTTTATATGTAGGAACAAATTGATCTTCACCCAGAACCTTCCAAATACCACGATTCACCCCTTCTATGAGAAACTTTATTTTCTCTTTCCACTAACTATACCCATATCCATTAAAGAATGATGGTTTATTTAGTGAATAGCTTGAAGTCTTTTTTTCTCCTGGGACAATTAGTCCTTACAGTAGTTAGGCTCTGATGCTACTTATTGGACAAGTTACTTCGAGCACAAGAAGGATGGGGTCAATTGTGGATTTTAAGATTCATGATTACTTTTAAACCTTTCTCGATTAAGATCGTATTAGTATTTTTTTACAAAGCCTGCACTCCTCAACTTCTCGACCTCCTCATTGATCGCTTCCCATTTCTCCCTGCTTACTTTATAATTTCTTCAAGACACATGTTTCATTGAGGAGTCAATGGCAAGGAAATGTCGGTGAGTGTCCAAGAAAACAAGTTGACATTTCTCCTTAGCATATATATCATCTTTTCTTCTTCTTCTTCTTCTTCTTCTTATTATTATTATTATTATTATTATTATTATTATTCTTATTATTATTATTATTATTATTATTATTATTATTATTATTATTATTATTATTATTATTATTATTATTATTATTATTATTATTATTATTATTATTATTATTATTATTATTATTATTATTATTATTATTATTATTATTATTATTATTATTATTATTATTCTTCTTCTTCTTCTTCTTCTTCTTCTTCTTCTTCTTCTTCTTCTTCTTCTTCTTCTTCTTCTTCTTCTTCTTATCCTTCGTCTTCTCCTTCTTATTTAGATAAGGATATGCCCAATTTGATGACTTAAAAATCTCGTGGCCCAATCTGGACCTCCTTTTAGATCTTTTGTGGGAGTTATACTTTCGTTATCACTCTATCATGGGGTCTAAACATACAACATTCATTTCATACACGCAGGATTGTAGAATGGCAGATGAAACCTCCCTTACTTTTCTTATTATAAGGATACCTTAGTAACATTATTGGGGGGTTTCTTGATCCCCTTGGGCTAACCCAACCCAACCATTAAGTAACGTATATTTCATGCTTAAGTGCAAGGTTAGCAGGACGACCCTTAAATAGGTTAAGGGTGGACCACCCCATAATGAAATTGTATGGAGAATAGGCATCTACTATGAGATATCTGACCTTGATTGTCCGTATTCTCATTTACTCCATGCAGTATTTTAAGAGTTATGTGACCTTTCACAGGTACGTGTTCATCATAGAGCCCGACCAAGGAACCTCGAAACATCTGGATGTCATATGGGTCTAGTCGGAGTCTCTTAAATGCGTCACAAAACAAGATATATTCTAATATTCTAAAGTCAATCAACACTCTCTTTATGTCCCATTTGACTTACCACACAATTATGAACATGAGGTTATTATTGTGAGGAAAGATGATGAAGGCATCTATACTAAAAAGATGATTTCGAGTTATGACTCCTTTTAAAATTATGTTTAGATTTATTGGGTATGCCATCTTCCGCCACAACCCGACGAGCATACCTCTAGCCAGGAGATATTGATTCTCCACCTCTAGCAAACCCTAATGCTATGGCTTAAACGAATGCATCTACACTGGTAGGTGTTATGGCACCTCGTTACCACCATGTTGAAGAATGTGACTGAGGCGACTAATGAATGTCAAATGAGTGTGACCCATGTCAGCTTTAGAGGGACCCTGCAGTGGGGGCCAATTGTACATTACTAAAAGGATAATGATGGATAACTCCTAGCAATGTAGGGCTGTCAAAGGTTTATGGTTTGTGGTGTGTTGAACTCCCGCCTATGTAAAGATCGTGGAAATCTCCTATGTGTTCTTTTCTCAGGGATTTTTTCGTGTTCCCTCTCTTATTCTCAAATTGGGATATATATATATATATATATATATATATATATATATAAGATTTTTGGGTTTGAATTGAATAGTTGAAAGTTGTTTCCCTAGCCTCCAAAATGTGGAACATAGGGGGCAATTTCTCCTTCCATCATGGAGGAAGGAATTATTCCTCCTTGACCGGTTCTCTAAAACGTTATTATTCATCAACCTCATAGTCATGTGTGATGGATGATGTGAATCATAGAATTCGACCAAGACCTTATCAAGCGATCCACCTTGGGTGACCCAACCCAATTAGGCGACCTATAGATCTACTTTGAGCGATTACCGCTATGCACGAGCTCACCCAACGTTAATGTATCTAGTCTTTTGTTTCTTTCTTATGGGATACCCGTATTAGAACCCAATAAAATTATCTCAATCCACTCTTATTTTGGATATTTTCAAAACAAGTATAATATTATATATTTAATCAAAATTAATTGTTAATTTTTATTTATTTAACTAAATCATATTTAACCAAATAAATTATAACTATGTTAATGTATTAAATAATACAATTAACATTTAATTAAATTTAATCATTCGTTTTGTTTTATTGATAATACTTTATATGTGTGATCTTATAAGTCCTCATAATATTATTGATAATTTTATAGATTTTCGTAACATTAATAATAATATTAAATTATATATTTAATATTATTAATAAAAAATAATATCTAAAAACACATCACTACTATTTATAAGAGAAAAATATCATATAAATGAAGAGCTTCTTATCATAATTACATAGAGATACAATTTAACAATTTTGAAAATTTTAAAACTTAAATAAACTAATATGTACAAATTTAAGGACAGAGTAGTCTATTCACTTATAAAATCTAATTACCTAATTAATTATTTTTGTTTTAGCTCTGTTAAGTTTTACTTGAATGACTATTCCACGTTTTGCAATTACAGTTAATGGAGCAGAATCCACGGGTTAATCAATTTACAAGAATATATAAAAAGAAAAGAAAAAGGAAAAAGAACGAAAGGGCCCTTACGGTTAGCGATTACGACGTGGCAAATATGTAATTGCACTCACGAAGGACAACATGGTAAACTCACGCTAAAGACTTTCATTCGCTTCCAAAAATAACAGACATAGCTCCTACTCCTTTGAAAGAGGGAAAAAAAAAATAAGAATCGAACAAACAAAAAAATCGGAAAAAAAAAACAGAAACAAACTCATAACCCATAATTCACTCTTTCCCCTTTCACTTATTTTCTCTGTCTTTGTTTTTGTTCGTTTCTTAACCGACGAAACCACCAAACAATTCAGTCCTGTTTCTGATTCTGATGCATTAAACCACAATGGACGACTCCGAGGTAAACCGTTTCAACTGTCTCTTCCGCCGCCAACCGCGGTGCCGCCAACCGCGTTGTCGTTTCGATGATTCCTGTTTTTTTTTAGGTTTATGTTTGAATGGGAGTAGAGTGATTGTTTTTGATTTTGTGATTAACTGGGGTTTTGGGTTTTGATTTTTGATTTTTTGATTGTTGTGGTTTTGATCAGAAATTAACGGCTTTGAAGAAGGCTTACGCCGATATCATACTCAATACGGCGAAGGAAGCTGCTGCGAGGATAATGGTTTCCGAGAGAAAATCTAGTCGATTTCAACAAGAGCTTGCTTCTACTAAAGATGAAGCGCTTCACATGGTTCTTAGACTCAAACAAATGCTTGATTCTAAGGTTTGATATAAAGGCTTGCCTTTTGTTTTCTTTTGCTTTTTTTGGTTCAAAGTTTGGTTTTTGTTTTTGTTTACCTTATTTTTGTTAGTTGAAGTTGGTTTCTGCTTTGTGTGGTGTTAATTGGTTGTGAAAGTTAGGAGCTTTTTGTTTTATTGGATTGGTTTTGTTTGTAGAATTGTTGATTCGGTTCTTGCATGTTTTTTCAAGAATAACACTTCATTTTGTTATGTCTGTTAAACTCTTTTGAAGAATAATAAGGATATCACATTGGTCCTGGTTGTTGCAGAAATGCAATCATCGCAGAAATGCAATTATCGTGCATTTGATATAGTTATCATTTGTGTCTTCACTTCTTTTGCTGATGATAAGTCTTGTTTGAGAATGGAACTCAAGCTGACTTGATTGTGAATGTAGGCACGGTTTAATAGATATATATACTCTTAATCTTTCTGTTTTTTTGCATTCTAGTTTTGTTCTTTACTTGCAGAAGCATATAGCAAAATATATCTCCTATTCTCATTTCTCAGATAGGAATTACTTCTCATGCATTATCATTTGGCTTTTGAGTTTAAAATCATCTGGTCTCATAACAAAATGATAGTTTACCTTACTACCATTGTAGCATACACTGGCATATCAGTAGTTTAATATGGCAACTTAGGAAGTGTATGCAATGGAGTCGTTCTGGTCAAGTCATTTTTAAGGTCTTGTCTCTTATCTACTGATAGGTTTGATATGGCAAAAACTTTCAGGTCAAAGAAGCAGAACTGACATCATTGAGTCAGCAAAAGAAGATTGAGGAGCTTGAAGCTCAGCTACAGGAAGCCGAGGAAATAGTTAGAGATCTTCGGGCTGAGTTGAGAGAAACACAGGCTGAGCTGGAGAATGTTACAAAAAAACACGAAATGCATCCCCCAGTCGAACAAATTATGAAGGATGAAATTGCAGCTAATGGAAGGTTTCTGCAGGAGAACAGACTTGAACCTTCTGATGCAACTGTGCATTCTGAACCCAATTTACAGTTTGAATCGGTCTCAGTTTCTGATGCTATGTGCCCTACTGTAAATGGAATAGATAATGGAAGTACGTTCTGTGTGTCTCGTGATCATGCAAACAGTTTCTATATTCATAATCCAGATTTTGCATCTATAGTCATTAGGAGGAAAGAGCCCGAGCTCTACAGAAATGGATGTACTCAGAGAATACGAGCACTTGAAAGGAGCCTTTTTGATGGAAATGTATCTGTTTCAGGAGATTTAGATAATTCACGGGATGAAACTTTAGCTGAGGCACAAGAAGAAGGTAAGGAAGCAACTGTTGCAGCTAATGGCAAAGCCAATATTATTTGCGAAAATGAAAAACCAGATGAACTTGAAGTTGTAAAAGAAGGCGATGACCTTGTCAAAGATCTAGTTCGGAAAAAACACCTAAGATTTAGGAAGAGGAGGACTCATCTCTCTAGATTGCATTCTGACCAGGTTAAGGAAACAACTAAAGAATCATATTTGTCTGATGCCAAAGATTCTCCTCATGTATTGGATGACAATGATGCTTCCAAGGTGAATTTTTCTATAGCACATGAAAATGATCTAATGTCTCCTTTGGTCGAAGCACCCACTGATGCAGCTGCAAGAGTTGAGGAACCAGATAAACTTCAAGTGGTTAAAACAGGTGCCGACCTTATAAAAAATCTAATTCTTAGAAAACGCAAAAGGTTTAGGGTGAGGAGGACTCGTCGATCTAGATTGCATTCTGATCTGGTTAAGGAAGCAAATAAAGAATCAAACCTGACTCGTGCAAAAGATTCTGATCATGTATTAGGTAACAATAACAATGACCGTCCTAGGGTGAATTCTTCTGTGGCACATGAAAATGAAGCTCAGAAGGATCTAATGTCTCCTTTTGCCAAAGCACCCAAAGAAGCAACTACAGCAGTTGAGCAGTTGGGATCTCATACCAATACTGAAAAAGGGGAAATATTTCTTAAAGGCTGCAGTTCTAAGAACAAGATTGAAGATGATAAGGAATCATTGGATAAATCAGATTTGACAAGACAAGAGAGTTTGTCTACTGAAAGTATAAAGGTTCAAAGCTGTAAAGATGCTGTTGAGGCAACTGCTGGGTCACCAGATAAAATGGACTCAAAAGTATCCAATAAAGACGAGAAAGTTTCTACTCGATTCGCAAATGATAAGCTTCTCAAGTACACATTCCAAAGAAAGCGTAAGAAGGGGTCTGTTAGCAGCGGTGATGTAGGCTGCTCTCCAGATGATAGCAATTCAAAGAAAATTTGTGGAGAGAAGCAAAATGGCCATGCGGAGCCTCAAAAATCTTGTACAATGACCGAGTCATCTCGGGAGAGCCGACGACTAGCACAAGTTGCTCGCCAGGTTGGTGACACACACTCACATGTATATATATTTATGCTTATGAATGTTCTCTTTCTTTCTGTCCTTCACTGTATTGGGTATGGGTATGCACGTATCTGTTTACCTATTTATCCATGATGCAAACTATGTAGGTATTGTATCTGTGTTTAATGAACTACTTCTCTATTTCAAAGATGGTTGTAGCCATGTTGAAGTTATGTTGTCATACATTTTCCGTACTCATCAGCTTCACCATCGCCTCTTTCACTGCAACAATCACACCGCACCACGCCTTCCCGGCCTAGCACTAGTTTCCCCTATTCCTGGACTTAAATCACCATTTTGCTTTTTCCACCCAAAAATTTCACCTCAGCCATGACACATTGAAGTGGACCAATAGCTTGGCGTCTTCTATGTTGCAAAGCCCCACAGTTTATATCTCAACATACATTAGTTATCGTCTCATCTCAATCTAGCCTCTTCTTCCCCATCAAAATGATTCCTGATGTTCTTCACTTCACTTCATCCAAGCTTATAATTTTTGATTCTTGATTCACAAAATTGAGGAGGTGTTTTCTCAATTCATCCTTTGTTTCTCCCTCATCATCATAATCACATACTTTTCATCTTTCCTGATCTTGCTTCTTTGCATGTTGGTTTTCTTCCTCAATAAGCCTTCTTCTAGAGACGCATCCAACTCCTCTCATCCTATGTAACAAATAAGGTTATCTATCTTCATGATTCCAATTGACTTTGACTGCCTGGCTACTCTGTGGCTTATAATTATTCAGGTTTGACGCCACATTATTTATCGCTTATGCTCCTTAACTTTTGTGATTGACTTGTTAGTTGTCTTATATTGATGGTCATTATTTGTGCGATCTAGACTCTGACTCTGACTTTTGATGCTTATGTTGTGGTGATGGATATATCTTAATTTAGAGTAGTTTACTGATTGTTTTTTTACTTCATATAATAACATGGTATTGTCATATAGATTCTCTAGAATATACATGATTTTTCACTTCACATAATCATTGTATTGTGCTCAATTTAGACGGAGGAGCCTAACACAATTCTTCAATCTTTTGGCAGCTTATATCCTTGTCTGAGAAGAAATGGTGGCAGTGAGTAGATTCGTCGTCTCTATTGTTTCTGGAGGATGCTTTACGTTGGTGATGGAGCTGTGGAACATGTTAATAATATAACTATTACTATATATCTTCTACTTTCCTTTCATCCTTAGATAGCAATTGCTAACAATAACATAATTTTATATGTTTTGTTGATGGCCTTTTCTTGGGATCATGTTTCCAATGCAAATTTTGCTGATTATAACTTATATTATTCTCATCAATCATTTTGTGTCTGTTGCTAACATTAGAACTATTAAATATATACATCCTCCATCTAATTTTGTATGAGAAAAATAAACTATGTGCAACTTTACAAAATTGTTCTTCACCAATGATATAGAGTCAACAACTTTTCAAAAAAAAAATGATGTAAAAGAAAAATTAAGGCTTTGTTCGAAAGTTTGAAGGGAGAGGGAGGAGTGACTTTAAAAAAAAGGGGAGGAGTGACTTAAAAAAAAAAGAGAAGGATTGAGTGAAAAGAATTGAAGGATTTAGGTGAAGGGGTTTTGAGGGATTTATTTTTATTCAAAAAGTAATTTTTTTTTAAATTTAGGGAACTAAAATACTGCATTAGAGGAGGAGTTTAGAGAATTTTGAAAGGCTTAGACAAATTGTTCAAATATAATTTATAGTTATAACTAATTAAAATTGAAATTATACTCTATATAATAAAGATTATATAGAAAATTCTTGTAAATAGACAACAAGTTGCGACACTTTACTTTTTTGGATAGCAAAATCAATTATCTTAGGCTTAGTTTTTTAAAAAAAGTTTTTTTATTTATATTTTTTTTATAAAAAATATAGAGAAGTTTTTATATTTTTTGAAATTTTTTTTTATATAGAATGATAAAAGATTGATATTTTGAAATTTTAAAATTTTGTAACATAAATTATATTTGAACAATTTGACAAGTCCCTGAAAACCTCTAAACTCCTCCTGAAATACAATTTTTTTAGTTCTCTAAGTCAGGGGCATTTTGATTTTTGAATAAAAATAAGTCCCATAAAAACTTTCCCACCTAAATCCTTCTATTATTTTCACTCAATCTTTTTCTTTTTTTTTTAAAGCTCTCTCCCATATTCTCTTCCAAACTCTCAAACAAAGCCTTAAAAAATATATTCACTGTCTTATGAGATACAACATTGCTATGCATAAGCTTTTACATTATAGATAAAAAATTCACTCTTTCTCGTGCTAAAAAATCAAAAGTGTCAAAGGAAAATGGTATGAAAGCACATTGATTGTCGGAACACGCTTTTTCATGCTTGACCACTTTAGTTGAAGCGACTTTGAGAGTTGTCTGTCTCACAGTAAAACCTTTTGTCTTTAGTCCCAACAATCGAGAAATCCCAATTAAGTATACACATGCACGTTTCTCTCCTATTCACCCGTACACTAGAACATCTACTGGCCTAAGTGTTGATCTCCCCACCTATGACTCAGTTAAGAAATTCACAGTTGCATATTTCTTCATAGATACCCCAAAATTCTGAAATATATCTATTATGGGTCAGCTAAAAGCCCAAATGACCAATGTCTAATCCATCTTAAATCCACTCCAATTTGCCTAAAGTATTAAAACAATTCACACGTTGAGAACAAAATATGATCTCTGATCTCCAATTTCACTACATTTGTCTTGAATCTTGAACTGACTTGAGCGTTAGAGTGCGGGTCCACCCCGCACCACCGTAAAGGAGATTAGAGCCATTATTTAAGAGCGCCAGTTTTCAACTGCACCCACTTTTGGCTCCCAAATTAAACTGGAGCATCCATTTATGGTTCTGGAACGGAACATTGACGTCGTCTTTGGGAAAAATTCAGATTCCTACGATTTCCACGAAATCACGTTCGCTATGTAACACCATCGGAAAAAATTAGAAGTGTTAGATCTGGATTATTGCGGTTCAGATCCAAACCTTTGATTCACCATTTCACAACCTCTTTTTCTCATCAAATTAAGAGTGAATCAGATTCCAATTTCCACACTTTTGATGAATTTACAATTGCATTTCAGTTTCATCGTGTGCGACCTTCTTTACATCTCGAAATCAGAAGCACTCATAAGTAAGTGCAAAGAGCCATCACAACTGTTTCAAAAAATCATCATCTCAATCGTAATCCTTTGAAGTCCAAATCCTCGCTTCTCTTGGAAACTCCGTAAAGTGGAAAAGGAAGGATCTGAGACTCAGGTCTAGGGTTGCTCCAGGGTGCGAAGACTATTTGCATGGAAGTTCACGTAGGGAGTTTAAAAGTCTTTTTTTCTGATTTAACGTTGCCCGTACTTCTGATCGCTACTAGGAAACATCACTCAAGGTTTAGATAAGCTTACGAGCTAGTTCCCTTGGTTAGATCAACAAAAGTGAAAAGGATGCACGAACCATAACCTCTATACAAAGGCCTTGGATCTCGACAACCCCCTTCAATCGTCGCTCGACCTCACCATCCCAAAGGAAAGACTAAGATAAGAGAGTTCTCATCCCAAGGAACTTCATCCCCCCTGAGGAGCAAGAAACGCCCTGCCAAAGCATTGGACAAGGAAAATTGACGGGTCTATAAATCAACAACCGACTTAAGCTACATCCCTAATGAAGTTAACCATCCAACACAATATAAACAGATAAATGCAAGGCGAGGAACCTCGACACCCTCTGTTCTAGGGTGACTCATGGAGGTACGACCACATAGGACTTCGCTGATTCCAGGCTCACCCCAGGGAACGTAAACAAATTTCCAAATGCGACATACAAATTAGTACACTACTACAACTAACATTGAATACGACGAGCAAGTATAGAAACCAAAAATGGTAGCTTACATCTTTCAATCTACCAAGTTGAAAAAAGTAGGCAAATTTCAGAGGCACATTTTCCATTTTGTTACAATCAAATCCGGTGTTTCCTTCGTAAAGTAAGTTGTTAAGGCTTTCACGCTAAAACAGATATCAAGTCGTAGCCGATATTCAGCGATGATCCAACCTAAACTCTAAAGTGAAAAAAGATTTTGTAGGGTAAAAGAGCGAGCCACGAAGTTACAATAGTTCATAAACAATGATAATTGATCTGACCTGATCAGAAGGTTTGGACCGTCACGGCTGGCTCCGAGCAGAAAGCTTTTTGAACGAGGAGGGGGGGGTACCTGCAAGGCACTCCGATGCTAAAGTCAGTGGGAGTACGAGCAGATAATAAAGTTGGGGTTAGAATGATGAATACCTGACCCTCTGGAAACAGAGGGTATTTATAGCCCCCAGCGCTGGGCCAAGGTTCCTTCATTGGGCCGGGCAGATTTGGCCCAATGGAGGAACTGCCAGGTTCTACGTGGGTAGTGGGGACCCGCACGTGGTCCCCTTCCTGGATGTGCTGCGTGAAGTGCGGGCGGACGAAGACGCGGTCTTTCCGGAGTATCGTTGGGGGAACGTTGGACTGAGTCTGCCCTAGTTGGGATGCTCGAGACAACGTCGAGCTGGACAGCAGGGGTGTCGAGCTGGACGTTAGGATGTCGAGCTGGACGACAGGACGTCGAGCTGGACGACAAGAGGTGGAGCTGGACATCATCACGTGAGTTAGACAGCGGGATGTCGAGCTGGACATCAGGATGTCGGGCACGGATGTGACTCCTTTGCTCGGCGTGGACCTCCGTAAGTCCTTTTGGATTGGGCCTTAGTAACGCTTTTGGGCCTGTCGGGCCCAGTCCAGAACAGGAGCCCCCCAAGTCGTGGTTCCTTGGCGAGGAGCCATGACTTGAACCAAAGTTATTCCCTCGCTGAGGTCTCGTGCCCGGGATAGACGTGGGGGGCCCTCGAGGGGCCTCCTCTTGTCGTGCTCAAAGACGCCCTCGGAGATGGATGCGCGGGGAATCCTTTCCGGGTGCGTCGGTCGGGCACACGAGGTATCTTTCGGGAAGTGTGCCGCCACCCTATGGGGGTAGGGCCATCATTGCGTTGGGAGCAGCGCGTCGAGGAGATGGAGTCCGTGGTTGCCCGAGGTGACGTTTGGTATTCCACGTCATCACTATAAATAGGAATCTTGGGCCCCATAATACGTTTTCCGCTCTCCGTGCTCTCTCTGTTGCTGCTCTCCCACACTTTCTCCAGTTGCGACTTCCCGTCTCAGATTCTTCCATTTCGTAGCCAAATCCCAAACTTTGATCCAAGTAAGTGATCTACTTTCTTCATTTTTCCGTTTAGAATGCATGATTCCTGGAATTTGTAGATGTTTTAGGACCGTGCGCGTGGGATTAGCCCGGTAAACTCGTGTTTTGCCCGACATATTCATGTCTAGGACCGGCAAACGCATGTTTGTGGCCGACACATTCATAGTTTTAGGTGAAAAACTTCAGAGCTGCCCGGGGTCTTCATGATCCGGGGCGCCTGATTCATGACCGTGCCCGGTATGTTCATGGTCGTGGCCGTGGGCTTCATAGTGCGGCTCGCCATGTTCATACCTCGGGTCGACATGCTTGAAGAGTGGCCGCGCAGTTGGTTTGAGGAAGAACACCGGGTTCAGGAGAGTCGGGGAGGCATCCATTTGTGGAAACGGACTTGTGTAGTCGTGTATGGGACGACATGATTTTGTCGAGCATAGGACTTCGTGCTCAACTGATTGGTTTCCCGTGCTCTGCAGGTAACCATGGCGGACGAGCCGAGCTCCTCCGGACGTCGTGATCGTGAAGAACAGAGTGCCGACGAGTCGGCCACCCTGATAGATACCGTGACCGACCCATTGCTGGAATGGGTGGGTGTCGAGCCGCGGGGGACAGCGTCGGTATATAGTCGGGATGAGCGACATCCATTCACTGTCATTGAAGAGGGTCAGGACGAGCCTGGCTTCCAACAAAACTTCGTAGTCATGATTCCGTCGACCGGCGCAAGGATTTGCTCGGTCTATCCGAATTACAGCCTCGCGATGTATGAGATCGCGTTTAAAGACCTAGGGCTGCGGCTGCCGTTCACTGATTTTCAGGCCGGGGTCTTTATGCACTTGGAGCTGGCC